TCATTCTTCTTTTGGAGATGAAGTTTTTAAATTATTTTTATAGTAGGAATAAGTTCACTTTGCGGATGACTAATATTGAGTACCCAAAATGATTCAAGACACTAAAATTTATCTTGGAGGAAGACAAAAGAGGATGATCTCTTTCCTGAGAACATCATATTCTTGTGTAAAAACAGACAGAAATATGAACAATTTTGTCAAAGGTGAACAAATGCTAAGAGGTTTCCGCTGTCAAACTAAATCTCTGAATTTATAATGATTCAGATAACATTGGGTCATATGATAGATTTTTTAAATTAGTATTTAGATATTAGCTGCAAAATCATTATCTGTTGGTAAACAAATGGAGAGTATTCACTGAAGTATGACTTTTTCAATGAATGGCCAGATATTTTGTAAAGAAGTATTTAATATATATAATGTACAGTAATTTTTTTTGGCATTTGTTAATAAGGCAGAGTTGTAACTCTCTCATAGTATTTACTTTCCTTTAATGAGAGATACAAAATAGTTGTGTAGGGAAAAAACACTCATGAGATACTTTACTTAATGGCATGTAATGCAAAAGAAAACCAAAAAAGGTAATGGATTTAAGGATTGGGGATTCTTCCTAACTGTACTGATAAAAGAAGAGCTTTTTGAAGAATTGATCTTTCAATTGAGACCTAATTGACCTCATGATTAAAAAGTTGTCTTCAGAAAAATGCAGTGGTGGTAAATTTATGCATAATTTCACAAAGTATTCATTTTATCTATGTTGCTCTTATAGTAGGTTACAATAAGAAAATAGATGTTACTAAATTTTCTAGATTATTCTGCTTACTTTGTAGTTTTAGGTTTACACACCTGGATTTAAAAAAATGCTACTAATGTTTCTCATGATTGATCCTTTTGTTTATTCTTATTTAGGAATTTTAAGGTATTTTGCAAACTCATTCACTTGAAATAAAAGATACATGGTCTTATTGCAGAGTATAGAACATTCTGAGCCCAAAGTTATTCACAATAGTTAAAGAACAGATAAGTAAATCCTTCTTTTGAGATAAAAACTAATTGTATATATAAAGTCCATTTAGCAAACATCTCACAGTTGTTTTGCTATGAGTAAATTAATTAAATGAACTTATATAAGATCCACATTTAATGTTATGATTTTCAATAATAGTAAAATTATCAGGCCCAAAAGATATGCTATATTATGACCCTAATGTGAATCTGAGTGACTTTTCACACTCTCTAATCTATACTTGATTTTCAAAAATTATCAAAAGTTACTTAGTGCCTTGTCTAAGAATAATGTAAATTAATGAATACTCCTACTTGTCTCAAATTGAAACAGGAAAAGACTTATTTTCTTGTAGAAATCACAATATCTGTTTGGTTAGCAAGTAGAAAGTTGTTCAGAATACACTGGAATTTAGTGGCAGAATTAGAATGACAATTTCCAATGTCCTTCTCCTATTCAATTTTTAATACTTTAGCAAAGATAATGAAGTGATTACAGTTATTGTCTAGCAAAGACATTGTTATTTAAATTTACTTCTAAAAGTTTTAGGTGATTTTATTCTTTGCATGTCACTATCATTAGGTGACTTTTTTTTCCTCTTAGATTAAGGCATCTTGGTGAAAAAGTTTTTTAAGATAAATTCAGGACTAGATCTTATTTCCATCAAAATTTACTAGATAAAATATATCGCAAAAAATATTTAAAGCATAAAATAAAATCAATGAGACATATTAGGTATTAAAACAATGTTCTAGTATTTCAATTTAATTGTATTTATTGCACATTTCTTGTCCAAAGTTTCTTTTAAGTATAGTTAAGTACATATCTTTGCAACTAAATAAAATAAAATCACCTGTATTTAAAAAGGGGCTGGAGCGATAGCACAACCAGTAGGGCATTTGCCTTGCATGCAGTCAACCCAGGTTCGATTCCTCCATCACTCTCAGAGAGCCCGGCAAGCTACCAAGTGTATCCCACCCACGTGGCAGAGCCTTGCTAGCTCCCCGTGGCATATTCAATATGCCAAAAACAGTAACAAGTCTCACAATGGAGACATTACTGGTGCCCACTCAAGCAAATCCATGAACAACGGGAGGACAGTGCTATAGTGGTACAATATTTAAAGAGATGTTGAATTCACAAAAACGATATGAATAACTGTATCACTGTCATCCTGTTGGTCATCGATTGCCTCGAGCAGGCCCCAGTAACATCTTCTTCGTGCACTTGCAGAGCCCCGAGGTGGATAACTGACCCCTCAATAGAAAAGTAGAAAAAAAGGATTGATGGAACTTAAAAGAGGCTGAGTAGCTTAAATTATCAGCCTGGCAAGCACAAAGTCAGGAGTTCAAACGCTGTACCACCGAGACTCTTCCCAGCTAGTTTGCTATTTGGGGTCCCTGTGTTCAAGGGCTGTGTGGATGGTTTAGTGGTTTAAAATCCTTTTGGACAAAGGAAAAGCTTGCTCTTCACCCTAGGTCCATCCACTATATACATCAATCCCTGGTCCTATTGTAGACACTGAAGTGACCTTGAGAGCCTCCCTATGTGTGAGTCCCCCATGTGTAGGAAATAAGTTTTTAAAGCTGAGATTGTACCCTTAGAAATAATGAGCTGGGGATTTATGATATAGCTATCTTACTCTCTTCAAATGACAGCATATATACAGAGATATCGAGTAATTGCATGTACCACATGGCTGGTTAATTGGAGTCCACAACAAACTCAGCAGATATGTAACCATATTCAACACTATACCTTTAACCTTACAGAATTCTGGTTCTCATTGTGTTAACATGCCATTTGCAGTTATAATTGGATGATCATGAATGGGTGTTTTTATTTTGTTAAGAAAAATAAATGAATGTTAGACTTTGGTCAAAACCAATCCAAGTTTTAGAGTCACATTTTGTTTTAGTCACATTTAGTTATTAAAATGAAAAATTATTTATAATTTTATAATATAGTTTTAAGGTATATGACTTATATGGGAAAGTCTTATTAAGAATCCATTCATGCTTTATGATTATGAAAAATATTGCATCTTACTGGTTTATTTGCCAACCTAAGGTAAATTTAAAAGGTGGCTATTTAATTTATTTGCTTTCAAGTGACAATAGTTTAGCTAGATTAGTCTGTTAAATCAGTTAGAATAGACCCTATTTAGAACAATGCCAAAATTTACCTTATGTATTTTCTTCTTGTTTTTTTTTTCTTTTAATTTTAAAAATTAAAAACAATGAAGAACAGGTCAGAAGTATTGGTATTATCCCAACATATTTTCTCTACCATTGGTTTAAATAATCAATGTGAGATTGCTAAATAATACTGCTTCTTGAATAAGCATGGTATTTTTGCATTTGAGATTTTCAGAGCCTTTCCAATGAATTCAGATGATAATCCATTCTCAGAAATAAATACTCCCATACTTCTTTTTTCTCCAAGAGATCCTATTCTCTGGCTTCAGAAAATACCTAAACTTTTTTTTTCTTTCCATGCTGGCACCTTCTTTTTGGCATATCCTGTTGGCATTACCCCTATAAAGAACTTCCTGAAAAGCAAAGCATTTTGTGGTGATTCGGAAATGCTTTTGTTCAGCTTCTAGGCCATGCTTTAAACTCAAAACAAATAGAACTAAGCACACTATGTGTGAAAGTACTCAGACATTACCCTCATGGGACTATTTTTTTTAATGGTGCAAAATACTCAAGTTTCAACTAGGACTATTTTATATAAAGGTTCATTGATACTGAATTTGGGCCAGAATTTGGAATAGCTGGGAAAAATATCAAGTAAAACAACTTTTATCAAAAGGAAAATTAGGTTTTGAAGCTGGTGTTAATTGGCAGTGAAGGTGTTTCATTATGAAGCTGAATTTTTAACAGTTGTTAACTTGGTTACTATGAAAACACCAGCCAGAAGAAAACACTCCTTTCTTCCGAATACCTCTGCCAATGTGTCAATAATGTGAGTTTGGTTTTAAAACACCTAGGTACTGCTTAGAATGCACTAGTGTTGTCTGTTCATTCAATTTTATTTCTGCATTAAAGGCCTATTTCATAATCAATAGGTTCAGGAATGATCATACTCAAACCACAGGTGCTGTATTTTCTATTTTGCAATTCTCTATATTTGAATGAAACCTTTGTAAGACCTTAGTGGGAGAAGTATTTTTTTCTTTGTAACCTAGAGCATAAAGCAAACCACAGGAAATATATAAATTGTTACTAGAGAGATGATTCTTTTGGATGAAGCAATGACAAATGTGGTGCTTTATCTCTATGTGAGTTTGTACCTACTGCTGATTTTTTTAAAGGAAAAACACCTGAGGGCTATAAGTTGCAAGGTCCAACTATTTATTCTACTTCCTAATAATAAACAGCAGGAAGAAGGTTTCCCTCCACACATAACATATCCAAAGCCCCTGGGAGTATGTATGTTTTGATATTTTTCCCATTCTGATGTTTTACTAGCTAACTAAGAAAAAATTGGTTTGCCCAGGGAGTCTTCAACCTCTCAGCACCACATTCTTGTACTGTCTTGTCTATAGTCATCCTTGTAATCTCAGCATCTGGTTTTATGATGACATGTAGGGGGCAAGGGAAGTATTGTGGGTTTGTTTTGTTTCGGTATGCATAATAAAAGTATTGGTTTAAATGACTTGTCAACAATTCCCCAGACAAATAATTTAATTACGTGATTATAGTCTTACTGAAGTCTTTGTTATTGGTTCTAGGAAGCAAGCCTATAGCTCTCTTTGTTGTCCTCCAAAACAAAAGCAGGTTTTTTCTCTTGCCTTGCAATGTCTCTGCTAGAGTCACACTGAGTAAAATAATGAATGCTTTCGCTGCTACATGTCACAGGGGAAGCTGGGGACAATACTGACCTCATGCACACTGTTGATCCTTGCTTGCTGGGCAACATGTACACCTGGATTTTTGACAGCTCTGTGGATTCACTGGAGACCTCTGTCATTCTGTTCACCTTCTCATAGGCAATGGTTGAGACAGTTAACAACCTCCTTCAGCCACAGGCCTTGAATGCATGGAGAGACCTGACCACAAGTGATCAGCTACGGGCAGCCACCATGTTGCTTGACACTGTGGAGGAAAGTGCTTTTGTGCTGGCCGATAACCTTTTGAAGACTGACATTGTCAGAGAGAACACGGACAATATCCGTAAGTGGCCTTTGTTAGAGAAGGTGGTGCTAAGAGAGTATCACCTGTCATTGCTTTAAAAACTTCTCAAAAATCTTGTATATCATCCTTCCTTAGCTATTCTAATATTGGATATATTAGCCTGAAATCACTGAGTTCCACATTTTTGTTTAGTGTTTATGTATGTACTTACATGTTTAGGTTGTACAGTAAAAATCTTCATCCTCCTAATACAGAGCACATGGGTATTTGAGTTACATGTATAAGAAAATTAGTTAAGTGCAGTTGATAAAGGAATTTGATAATTGTATTATCAGATCATAAAGAATGTAAAACTATTTTAATTGTGTAAAAGAATGTATTTGACAGTTTTATTTAAGATTTGGTAAGGCTGTCTTAGACTTATTGGGCTTTATTAGTCTGTATGAAAGTCCACAGATTTTTATAGTCTCTAGAACATAAAAGTAATTTACTAAATTTATAAGATAAAGGTGATAATTTGAAAACAAATTTGAAGTTATGATGAAGGATAAAAATTTGAACATTAATATGTAATTCTATATACAATATAATTCTATGTAAAATATAGAAGACCAATACTGCACATTTAAATTTTTATTTTATTTCAACAGCTTTAATTTGTTCTGTCTTATAAAGGAAAAATGCTAAAATAATACAACCTCTAAATAAATTATTGAACTAAAGTAAAACATGACACACAAACATTAATTCCAGTATTTTGCTTTCAGAACAATTGTGGTAATGTATAAAATTATCTTAGTTTTAGAACTTTTCTCAATGAGTAATATTTCTCTGCTGTTAACAGAATTGGAAGTTGCAAGGTTGAGCACAGAGGGAAACTTAGAAGACCTAAAATTTCCAGAAAATATGATTCATGGAAGTACCATTCAACTTTCTGCAAATACTTTAAAACAAAATGGCCGAAATGGTAAGTTAGAGTTCATTTTTAGTCGGGTTTTTGAGCCACAACTGGCCACTCTCGTTGCTACTTATGACTTTGTGCTTGAGGGTCACTTCTGGTGGACTCTTGTGTCTATGATATGTGGTACTGGGAATTGAACAAGGTTTATTCTTTGCAAGGAATCTGCATTCATCCCTGTACTATCTCTCTGTCACCTAGAGTTTTAAATTGTGTAGAAATGATTTGTCAGTTACTTCTTGACATGAAATTTATAGTCACATCTCAATAACTCTAGTTTTGTTCACTAATTTATTTCCTTCTCTTCCTCCTCTTTCTATGCCAATAATATTGCAGTGGTATTTGTCTCACACAATTTTGAATTTAATTTGAAAAATTTTCATTACTTTTTAGTTGCAGAAAATGTCAGTGCCATGAGTATGACCAGAATCAATGAACTCTAAAACCCAGAAGCTTCTGTATTTCTTCTAAAATTCATCTCTAATATTTTAGTAAAAATTTTAATTTGTAATTTCAATGTTTATTTTTTTATTTCATTTCAAGATTGATTTCTATGTCTTTATTTTTCAAAGCATGTGCAATTTTTAAATATAAGCAGCTTCATTGGGAAATAAAACTGATAAATTAGTGTTACAAATTAATCACATAAAATGGAAAACAAATAATCTAGAAGAGTATGTATATTTCAGACTGCACATATTTTTAGATATTAGATATATTAGTTTTTCCAATGTTTCATAGTGCAGGGCAAATCATTGTAAAAATGAAGAACTCGAGAATCTATTAAATAGTAGTAGAAAAAAATATCATGTGCACTTTCATCAGACACAGTTCTTCATTAGTGCATGTCTTCTAGGTTTCTTACAAATTACTATACTTGTGGCTCACTTTGATAGCACAGCGGTAGGGTGTTTGCCTTGTGCGCAGCCATGCCAGCCGAGCTGGGTTCGATTCCTCCGCCTCTCCCAGAGAGCCTGGCAAACTACCGAGAGTATTCAGTATGCCAAACACAGTACCAAGAAGTCTCACAATGAAGACGTTACTGGGCCCGCACGAGCAAATCGATGAACAATGGGAGAACAACGGCTCACTTCCACACATAACCCTTTACCCCTACCTCTGCCACCAACAAAACATTATGTGTCTTATTTTGTTTGGGGGTTGGGGTTTTGTTGTTGTTTCAGTTTTAGGACCACACCTCCTGGTGCTCAGGGTTTAATCCAAAGATCTCATTTTGTGAGACTCAGGGGCTGTGGGGCTGGATTTATTTTACCTTCTTTGTTATCAATCCAGCCCCTGGGTTTTGGCCTTCATGCTTTTTTCTTTTTAAATCACGCATAGAAACAAAATCATACTTCCTCTTGTTTATGACACATAGCACAATGCACATAGGATTCTTGCATGTTTTCACTATTGGCAAAATGCCCTGCTTTTCAGTGGATCGATAAAATTCCCTTTCATGTGAATTCATTTATGAACATATAATTTCTTTCACCTATCAACTATTGCAATTCAAAATGACAATGACAATTTTTCCATATACTTTCAATAAATATCCAAAAATACAATTGCTGAATCAATTGTGATGATTGCATGTGATTCAGTTATGTAAGATTTAATTATTCCATTGTGTTTTCTATAGTTACTATGCCAATTTTCATACCCAGCTACAGTACACAAACATTTCCTTTCTTCATCTTGATTGCGTTCCTGTATCAAAAATTTACATTTTCTTTCTTTCCTGAAGTCAATTTCATTATTTCTCTAAGGTGGAAATATTTTCTCAAACGTGGAAATTTCTCTATTCTTCACTCATCATTCTGCAAAATATTAGCCTTTTATGGAAGGGTAATACTCACTGAAATTAGACCATTCTCTTTGAATTACATTTATGCCATTGACCAGTTTATATCAGTGGTTCATCAGTATTTATCCTCACTATTGTAGAATATTATTTATTTTACTATATTAAGTTGTCTGCCTTTTGTCTCAATCTCCTCCTCAGTAGTAAACTCCATAAGATTGGGATTATTTTCAGACATGTTCATGGATATAGTCACATTGTCTGACACCTGCAGATAGCAAAGTTATATAGCAAATGATTTGTGAAGTTTCAGATACAAAGCTAATGAACATTTTACTGTCTCTATCAATCATGTTATTTTGAGCATTTGTTTTATTTACTGAATTATTGCATTCTGTTGTTCATCTTCAGTCACATTAAAGAATTAATTTAGAATGGGGAAACTAGCAATTATATGTGACTAAACACACTGTTAATACAAGGTGGGTTGACAACAGGACACCATCCCACAGTTAGAAATTAGTATGAATTATCAGTCAATTATAACAAAATAAAGAAGGATTATAATTTTTTAGAGCAAGCATACAGGAAGAAAACAGAGATCTTCAGATCTTTGTATCTTAGAGACATTTCTAAGTTTAACATCCCCAAAATCATCATGTATATAATTAAATCTAGAAAGAAAAAAATGAAAATTTACTGTGTTGTGTTTAGTTTGCTAAGTACTATGTTGGCAGATGTGCCTTGGAAGCTTAAGGATGCCTATTTCCTGGACTTGAAAGATAGTGCAGTATGTAGCACTTGCCTTGCATTTGGCTGACCTGGGTTCTGTCCCTGTTACCCCACACAGTCCTGAGCCTGCCAGGAGTGATCCCTGAACACAGAGCCAGAAATAACACCTGAGCACCATTAGATATGGCGCACTCCAGTGACCCCCTCTTCACCCCCCAAGATATGCCTTTCCTTTTATGTAGTCATCATTATAAAATCTTCATTGACTATTGAAGGGATGTTTTCTCACAGAATCAGAGAGCTAGACAATCAAACAAGAAAACACTATACAGAGGAAACTGGCAGGAGCCTGTGTGTATACCTAGAATCATCCCTGAGATGTCACTGCGGACACAAGCCAAGACTTTATTTCTGCAACAGCACCTCTGAGGCTCAGACTTGTGTTATTTTTTTTTTATTTTATGATTGTGGATGTGGGTGTCCTATCCAAGGCATCTAAAACATTTTGTTTGTATCTTGTTTTAGAACTTATTTTTCTTTTTGTTTGTTTGAGGGCGACATCCAGCAGTGCTCAGGGGCTACTCCTGGCTCTGCATTCAAAAATTACTTTTGTCTGTATGTCAGTGAACATGTGGAATGCTGGGGACCCTGGTCAGCCACGTGCAAGGCAAATGCCCTACCCACTGCACCTCCTTTTTCTAGAAATTTTGATGTTCTCAGCTTATGTCTGAACAATCTTAAGTTGTTTGGACAACGGAAAGAATGACAGAGAAATTGAGATTCATTTGTAATTCTGTTATGTAGTGGTTTCTGTGTTGTTTGAGTTACCTATGAATGACTTAGAACTTATGAAAACTACTTTCTACTGTAAGTACACATACACAGTTTCAATATTTATTACTCTCTTATTAGAACAAGGCAATTTAATGAGAAGGTACAAACTTGGAATTTATTCTCAACTTGTAATTCACATTTTTTATTTATTTTAGGGGAGATCAGAGTGGCCTTTGTCCTGTATAACAACTTGGGTCCTTATTTGTCCACGGAGAATGCCAGCATGAAACTAGGAACAGAGGCTATGTCCACCAATCATTCTGTTATTGTCAATTCTCCTGTTATTACAGCGGCAATAAACAAAGAATTTAGTAATAAGGTTTATTTGGCTGATCCTGTGGTGTTCACTGTTAAACATATTAAGGTAGGAATGCAGCATGCTAAGTTGTCCAATATAAAGTGTTTATAGTTTGAACATAAAGTATACTGATTTTTTATTTCCTCTGCTATATGACATTTAACAAATATCTATAAAACATTAGTTTTTAATTTGTTATATAAAGAAAAATTTTATTTGTTATATAGAGGATAGTTTTTGGATATATAAATACCTATGTTCCAGGCATTTATAAATGAGTTTATAAATGCTTTTCTATCATTAAGAAGAACAACAATATATTCAGTGGAACTGGAAATGGCCTCACATATGACATTAAAAGTAATTATACCAGTGCATGTCAATATATTTTTTGAGTTCACACAAAGATTGTATTACTAGTGAGCAAAAATTTGTATATAAGCTGCATTTTTAGAAGGAAGTTGATTCTATAAGGAACTCACTTCCTCGCAATGTAAATTAATTGATATGATCTGAGACACTGATACTATCATGCCTTTAAAAAAACAAACTCACCTTTAATCAGGAGGGATAAAAAAAGCATATACATTCAAGTTCAATTAGAATTGATGAGGCCCGTATTATATGAAAACACTAGTCAGAAACTCCACAAAAACAGGAAGAGTATGAAATGGTTTTAGATGTAAAGAAAATGCCTTTCTAATTTGTATGATCATAAAGTAGTTATTGTCTCTATCGATTTTCTTTTCCCCTTGTAGCAATCTGAGGAAAATTTCAACCCTAACTGTTCATTTTGGAGCTATTCCAAGCGCACAATGACAGGTTATTGGTCAACACAAGGCTGCCGGCTGCTTACAACGAATAAGACACATACTACATGCTCTTGTAACCACCTAACCAATTTTGCAGTTCTGATGGCACACGTGGAGGTGAAGGTAAGGTATATGTCCTGACATAAAAGTACCTTAGCAAGCAATTTGTAAACTAACTGTATATCTCCTAATTCTGTGTGCCAGTGGCATTTCAGATATTTTTTCTGATTTCGTAGTAATTCTATTCAGGACCACTCTTCCCCTGAATAATTCAAAGAACTCTGTTCTGTTATCAATAGAATTTTGTTTATAAAGTAAATTCCACTTATAAAATTTCCCTCCGGTACCCTCTGCTTTTGTTTTGTATGACAGAATAAATATACTTTTGTTTTGTACGAAAAGTATGATATAGCAAATTCCACCGTCTTTTAATGGTTTCTGTCCATCAAAGAGACGCTATTCTGAGAGAAAAAAATCATCTAAATGGTAGTTTTCAAATTCAGAAATATGGCTACCTTGACGAACATCACTCCCTTTTGAGCCCCATGAGGCTTTAGATTTTACATATATTTAGGTCCTAAAAATCTCAAATGGTTAATAATATGATAAAGTATTGGTGGATTATTAAAAAGAAATTATGTACTTGTGAATTTTCTTATTTCTCTTAGGTCAATAAAATGTAGAGGGAGTTATTAATTACAACACATCTGAAAAATAAAAGCTATGACAGTGTTTAGTTTAACTGCTGTCATTGTGCAAATAATATCATCTAAGTTTCTTTCACTCTCCATCTTTTTTGTTTGTTTTTAACATTTCAATACCAAGGGATGAATCTCGTTCTCACTCTCAGGGAGTGAACCTAGTTCTCACAGGTGCAAAGCATACATACTACCACTGAGCCATATCCCTGGCTCTCATCCAAGATAATGTTTGATGTAGCTGAATCTATTATTGTACGGCACCCCAAAGGGACACCAAACCAATGCTTAGTTAGCACCATAAGGGAAGAATTGCCTTAGCTGTGTTAGCATTGTTCAAATTTTGCTCTTTCAAAGCTTACAAACTATATTTTGTTTGAGTATCATTAATTGGCGATTGGCTTCCTCATCCATATTAAACACACTAACAAGTAGTAGGTTTAAATTTGGAGTATGTTAGCTTACCACTGGATTTCTGTTTTTTCAACTCAGGCAAAAACAACCTCTCAAATTTCAAAAAAAAACAAAAGATCACACCTGAACAACAACTAAGTACTCCTTTTTTACTCAGTTCATTGCCTAACAGCCTGTGTCTGTACATGGTACCAGAATTCTGTCTGTGACCATTACTGAATGTTGACAAGAGAGAAAAAGATGAAAATCTTTGTTTTCCTTATCAGTTAGTCACATATCACATATGATGATGGAGTTCTTATATCAGGATCATTTGCAATTGTCTTAGTCCCATTTTGATCTTAAATTGTTGCACTTATCACACAGATATATATATATAATGATTAAAAGCATTAAAATAATATAAAATGTCTAATACACTATGAAATATATTTAATACTTTATAAAACATAAAATAAACTAGCTTATCATCCATGAAACTATGTCTACATAAAACACAGTAACTAAGCTTCCATCACACTAATGTCTACCACATAACACTCTTTGTGCAGTGAGTAATGCAGCATCCAATTAGAGCAGGAAAATCTATAAAGGAAACATCACTGAGTAGATTGCTGTAGCAATTAAGTGACAGTGTCCTTTGCAATCTGTCTTCACTCAAGGGCTTACCTATTTAATGAGTCACCCTTATCTGTGATTTTCTGCTGTTCATTCAGCATTTCCTTCATTCTTTCATAAAAAATGTCTTTTAGCACCTAAATACAGTTACTGAGATGTTGTCTTCTCTGCCCTGGTCTCTCAGTTAATGTGACTTCTTTCCTATCTGCTTGAGAGATAACTAGGTTCTGAAATTCCAGGGAAGCCTACAGGCCTCAAAGAACTCATATATCTGAGAGGGTGAAAAGTCCAGAGAAGTGAAGCTGCTCTCATAATTTAGTGTGATGTAATTGAGATTTGCATTCGTATGTAGGGACACAGAGCATGATCATGTATCTTAGACAGAACTCCTTAGGGGGGATATAAAAAAATGGTCTAGAGAGGAACAAACCAAGGGAATAGAAGGTATAAAATGATGGCAAAGCTCCGGCCATAGGAACTGAAAAGGCCATGGAAGGGTAGAAGTGATGAGGGTCCCTGGGTGTATGGATATTAGTGGAGAGTCCTTCGCCACTTTGCTGGTGATGAGTTAAGGTACACATACTGAAAACCTTAATGCTACTGTAATTATCTGACCCAACGGATAAGAATTAATTCATTTTAAATGAGTTTAAGTGGGTGTAGTGGATGGGTAGCAAGGGACCCTGGATTATTGTTGACAGGACACTGACACCGGTGGTGAGTATGGTGTTGGAACATTGCATACCTGAGACTATGTTATCATAAATAAATGTATTATAACTAATGCTAGATAAATAAAAACAGAGGCATGGTTTTCTGCTCTGAAGGATGAGAAGAATACATTTAATACTTCTGGAGTAACTGCATCAGTCACATTCTCACTTTGCTTTGCCTTGGGCACCCTTGCTTTTCTTTCTATCCTTGGTGGCTAGTCCTTGGCCTTTTTTGCTTGTTCCTTCTTATCTTCAACTCTGTCGTCTGTCATTCTTTCTTTCTTTCTTTCTTTTTCTTTCTTTTCTTTTCTTTCTTTCTTCCTTTCTTCCCTCCTTCCTTCCTCCCTTCATTTTTTCCTTCCTTCCCTTCCTTCCTTCCTTCCTTCCTTCCTTCCTTCCTTCCTTCCTTCCTTCCTTCCTTCATTTTTTTTTGTTTTTGTTTTTGTGCCACTCACATGGTTGTGGGCTTACTTCTTTCTCTGCACTCAGGGATCACTCTTGGCACAGCACAGGGGACCATGTGATATGCCAGGAATCTAATCCAAGTCAGCCATGCATACAATTTTTCCAACCCTCACACTATCATTGTTGCTCTGTCCCGAGAAATAATTTTAGATGTGGTCTGGAAAGTAATCATTCTTTCAGCCTACGTGATGTCATATAGGCATATAACTCTAAACATCACCTCATGATTCTCACTTTCTGTCTTCAGTTCCAAACTCCAGACGCAGATTCAACTTCTCTGTTACTAGGCCCACTAAGACTAATAAATAAGTCTCATATTTCTGAAATTTGAGTCTCCTTAGAAAGTGTCTGCTTTCCTTTGGGTGCTCTGCACCTCAGCCATGCAGACCTGTTTTTATTGTTTTGTTTTGTTTTGTTTTGTTTTATAAACCATTTACCATGAGCCCAGCTCTATGAAGGGAGCCTATCCTTTGGATCCAGCCTGACAGTTTCTCAGAATCTCCATTCCTGAGACCTACATTTGAGTCCCTATTGTCTCAGTTCAACTTTTTTGTTACTCTCTTTAAAAGTCTCTCTGTTCTTCTCTTATTCCCTTCTGGTTTATTCTCAGCACAGTTGCAGGATTCTTTTTAAACGTGAGTCAGAGCAAGTCCCTCCTCAAAAACAGCTCTGTAATCTTTTTAAAATGCAAATCAGATACTTAATACCTTTGACTCAATCTGAAGGGCTCTGTATCAGAGTAAAAGCCTAATTCCTAATTTTACCTCCTACTCCAACTTCTCACATTTTTTTCCTGTAGTTTATCTAGCTTTAGTCAGGCTGGCCTCCTTGACTTCCTGGAAAAATCAGTTTAAAAAAACCTGACAGTCTCCTGCCTTTTAATGCTTACCCTATAGCAATATGGCTGGCTTCCTTAATCTGGTTTTGCTCCAATTACCTTCTCAATGATGCTATTCTTGTTCACTATGATTAAAATTTCAAACCACCCTCTCCCCACAACATACTGTGTGGGGAGTAAACAAAAAAGGTCCCTGGCCTCAGGGAAGTTGTAATTTATTAAGAGAGAAAAGGGGGAGATTTTGCTTAGTTTGCTGAAAGAAATGTTCTAAGTAAGTCAATTTAACCGCATGCTAGAAGGAAGGAGTGCCCAAGGTGGCAAAATCACTGGTACACTACTTCTGAGTTCTTTCTACTTCTCTTATTGTAGGAGATATCTGATTTTCCTCTCCTTTAAACACAAATGTGATCATTTCAGACATTTAAGTGAACTCATTTATATAAAATAGACATAGTTTTTATGGTACTTCAAAGTCTTTTCGCTATTGGGAATCACCCATGGGTTGGTTAAGCAGAATGTTAAGTAAACTAATTTAAATATCTGTTTTTTCCCCATAGTCCTCCTTATGAGCACTCTTTATGGGAGGAAAACAGGCACTTATGTTTCAGACCAGTTAATGAATGTTTGACTCTAACTTCACAAAACACTGTAATGCTTTAGGAAAGTAGCAGAACATTTACATTGTTCATATTTCTTTCATTGACCCCAATTGTTCTTTTTGGCAGATAATGAAAAATGTCTCTCTGCTCTTTGTGTGTTGGTTAACACTGGTTTTTATTGTTCCTAAAACCATTTATTGTGGCAGGGGCCTAACTAGGGTAGGCTGCATGCAAGGCAAATGCCTTAACCCCTTTACTACCTCTCTGACTCCGAATCTCAACTTTTCGTTATAGCCTCTTGCTTTTAGGAAAATTACCTTCTGAACTCCTAATTCCTAATTGGCTAAATGATAGTATTTTTGTTTGCTTCTTTGTTTTGTTTTGGAGATACACCCAAGGGTGATCAGGGTTTACTCTTGGAGCTGTACTCAGGAATTACTTCTGGAAGGTCCGGGGCCCACATGGGGTGCTGGGGATGCAACTTAGATGGGCCATGAGCAAGGCAAACACCATACCCACTTATTAGCTCTCCGGCCCCTGATACTCTATTTTTTTCACTGAATTGTTTGTGTTACTAGAGGTAAGAGAAAATGTATTACGATCATGTGAGAATTATAAACTTTCGTAAAAATACGACTTTTTCCTGTCCTCGGAGCCCTATGAAAACTTGAATTTTATCTACCTCTATAATGTTTTGTCCGTGTGGTTATGTGAAAGCTTTGCTTTTCTAAGTGACTGGCTTTCATAAATCTATTATCTAACATAAATTTTCTGTGAT